TGCGTCGGTAGAAGGCCTAGCAGGATTAGTACTATTAGAAGGAGGGTTAGAAGGTCCCGCCGCCGTAGTAGGTGTCTATTAAGCCTGCTAAGCCTACTAAGCTAGGCTGCCCTATATACCGGACTAGCGTATAGTATTCGCAAAGGCAGATCGCCTTAATAACTAGTTTAGGTTGCGCTACTCTGCCTCTATCTGCTATAGAGTCCTATAGGTTACTAGACGTAGATCGGCTAAACTACCTTTAGGACCCTCTTCTTCTCCTGCCTGTTTAGCAGTATCTGCGATAGCCTTCGCTATAGCATCCTGCTTTGCCTTCTATTCTGCCTTATAGGCATCCTAGTCAGCGTATATAGCTTTAGCAATGCTAATAATAACAGTAAGCAACTTATCGAGATCCGTATCCTTATACTGCTATCTATTTAATTCTAGTGCGACCTATAGCAACCGATCTTTGCTAAGATTCACATCCTCCTATATATCTATTAACCGAGCTAGAAGGAAGACCTCCGATACAGACTATATTAGCCTATCCTTTATATATATACTAGCTAGTATACGAAACAGGCGGTTCTTACGCGGGTATAGGGTATCAATCTTCTTTAAGCACTAGTCCTTAATATACTTAAGCCTAAAGCTCGGTCTTGTGCCTTTACCTAGTAGGTTGACTAGCTTAACGCGCTTAACTAGTAGTTTAGGTAGATTAGCTATTAGATCGGTGTTATAGAAGTTGCAGCAATCTCTTCTATCTACTTAGCCGAGTAGGTGCGGAAACTAGGTTAGGTGTTCTCTATAGTGCTTATTTATTACTACTCGAAAGCAGCGGCCTAGTATCTTTAGGTAATCGTTTAGCGCACCTAAGAAGACCTTTGGAATGTTCTTCCGGCTCTCTAGCTTAGATTTATTCTATATATTACTCTCCTTAGATTTGCCCTTACGGCCTCTAGAAGTACTATCTCTAGCATCGGTATTAGCGTTACTATATACATCGTCTTAGTCGCTCGCACTACTAACATCCTTACTAGGAAGCTCTTGTCGCAACCTACTAGGTCCGGTAGTATATATGCCTCTACCTCTGCTACGAGTACCTCTGCCGCGACTACCTCTACCTCTACTACGACTACGACTACGACTACGACCGCGCGACTGCGACTGCGATAGTAGAAGGATAGAAAGCATGCTAGTACCTTCCGGCATACGCTTAATATAGTCTCCGGTATAGTATAGTACGAAGAAGAATGTACGAGGTCGATAGAAGTACGGCTTATCGAAGAAGCCCTCTATATTTAATAGAGCTAGTCGCCGAGTAATACGACTAAGTCGCTGCTAAAGGTCTCTAGGATTGCGAGTAATATTAAACTTCTATTAGTATATATTAGCGATATTAGGTACGTCTAACCTAATGCTTGCTATAGTAGTAGCTGCTATGTAACGAATAGCGGAGTCTAATTTGCAATACTCGTCGTATCGGTCGTCCTAGTCTAGCTTTAGCACCCTCGCAGTATAGAAGGAGATAGTTCGGGTAGTATTAACGCCTAGACCTGCTAGGCTATATTAGTACCTCTTAGTTAGATCCGGATTATCCTTAGTTAGATATAGCAACTAGCTACGGGCGATATCGACAAAGTTAGCGATATGCTTACAGCTATCGATAAATACTAAGGACTTGCGTATATTCTATAGTATTGCTAATCCCTTCGTAATCTCCTTCTCTTCTCTATTAGGAATTAGTAGATAGGATACGGCATTATCGATTACTATATATAGTATGTCGTAGTCGGTTAGATGCTCCTTCGGGATAAATTTGATAATGTATATAATTTCTAGGCGATCGATACTACTACGGATAATCTTAGTCTCGTACGGGTTAGGGCCTTCCTTACGTATGCCGGTATACTTTATCGTATACTTAGTACATTCTTTATCTATAGTCGCCGATGCTAACAGCGTACTAGTGTCGATGCGTAGGCGGTTACGTATTTAACCGACCTGCGAGTATTCGCCCTAGAAACTAGAAGGCTTACCCTAGTTATAGATTAGGTGCGCCTTATCGATAACAACTAGACCGACTCGCTCGCGTATACGTAGATCGTTTAGTAGGGCAAGGAACTAAGGAGATGCTACCTACTTAGGCCTAAGCAGAATATACTAGATCTTGCTATTTAGGATGTTCTTAAATATGCCTAGATCGATCTTCTTAGTCTCGGTAGAGATATATACTAAATAGACGAGACTACTAGTATTACTAGCTATACGCTCGATTGCTGCTACTTACTCGGCACCTAGGCGATTTAGTAGTACGACTTAGATAGTAATTATACTGGTTAGCATTATAAAGCCCTAGAACGGAAGACTCTTTCCCTCGCCTATACGAGCAATAAATAGGACATTATTCTAGCTATAGACGAGCGCATACATTACTAACTTCTACGCTAGAGTCGGAGTATATGCTAAACTAGAGTGCTTAAATTCGAGGATTTTAGTTAAGCCTTTCTTAATAATCTCCGCCTAGTACTAGACAGTTTCCTTAAATTAGCCTGCTTGCTATACTAACTCCTATATACGCGCAAGCGGTGTCTCTAGATCTGTAATCTTCTCGATACGTCGCTAGAAGTGCCGTCGCTATTCGGATTTTAGCTAGGGCAGCTGTATAGGAGGAACACCGAAGTCTAGACGTACGCGTATAATAGCGGAACGACCTAGTAGTAGTGCTTAATATAGTTCTTAACGCTCGAGTTGCTGCTTCTTCTAGCGCGCGGCCTTCTCGGCTAGGCGCTGCTTGCGGCGGGCTTTATCGCTAGCTATACTAGATACTAGATGCTAGATGCTAGATACTAGATACTAGATACTAGATACTAGACCTCGAGTCGAACTTGTCGATTAGCGGCCTCGATATCGTTAATTGTATAGGATATAGTTTAGATAGCTTTCTCTAGCGGCGGTAAGGTCCAAATTGGACTATCGATTTAGCGTACTTTAATAGGCGGCGGAGCTTGCGGGACACTTAAAGTTTGTAACTACGTATTAGGTTTATCGAGATTAGGCGATAGGTTAAAGTTCTAGATATTAGAGGCTAAAGGGTTAGTTTGCCCTACCGAGTCGAGACGAGTGTACGACTAAATTACATAGTAAATAGACACGCGGAGGTTGTAGAGGGCACTAGAAAGGTAGACCCCCTACACTTTATTAACGTAGAAGGGCGTCGTTTGTTTGCTCGTAAAGTATATAGGGGTAGGCAAACGAGTTAGTCGAGAGCAGCAATTCACGTTTATCGATAATAACTTTAGCATTTCTAAAGCGACTAGCTTATTAAAATAGCGGATATTCTTAATCGCTGAATTATCTAGGTCCCGTCTCTATAAAGTGCTATACTACGACTAATAGTTATTAAGCTATATAGCTTATTCGATATGAAATATAGTAGTAGTAACGTAACCTGCACCCGCTAGCAACGGTTTAGCTTTAGGCGCTTCGCTAGAATGAGATCTCGAATGGCGCTAAACCTAATATAGTATAGTATAGAAATAGAAGTTACGAGCAGCATATACACGAATTCAACTACGAAGCGCCTAAATAGAGGTAGAGCCGCCTTACGCAGACGCGGAGGCATACTTAGAAACAGCCGAGCATTATCCTAGCTTGTAATAAAATGCCTAATATTAACGTTGCGTAGCTAAGGCGGAGTCTACTCTAGACTAATATTAGTTAAGCACTAGATAATTCTCTAGAGAATCGCGATAGTTAACTAAACTTCCTTAAGGACTGCGCCTAGTTAGCAAATTGTTAGAAAAGGGGAAACTCTAATAGCAATACTTACTAGTCTCTATAAGCTAGAGCTTATTATAACGCGAAGGGTGCCGATTCTTATTTAGATTATTACTACCGCCGCCGCTGCTACTACTACCTATACTACTCGCTATACTCCCTAGGCTAGGGTAAAGAATTATCGCTATAATAAAGTCTCGGCTAGCTATTAGACTTAAAAGGTCTTAGTAAGAATTTAAAATTAAAAATCTAGTAGAGGCTGCTAGTACTTAGAGGATTACTAAAGAGTAGATTGTAAAAGTTTAAGTTGTCTAGTTAAGTTTAAGTGTCTTTTATAGGCGCCTGCTAACCCTATAATTACGACTAAGGATATTACTCTAAAGCAAACCAATTAGCAAACAATATAATATAAGTACGTACAAGTAGTATAGCATATAAAGCTATATATAAAGCAGATATAGTCTAATATCTAAAGGCAGTTAGAAGATAAAGTAAAGCTCTAAGCCTAGATTTGAAGTGTCCAATCTAAATAGTATATTATCTCTACCTAAGGGGGAGTATTATAGTTTAGTTAGATAATATACTAGTTAGCTAATACTATTAGCTAACCTATACTAAGAGGAAGGACACATAATAGGTATATTAACTGCAGTTTCTATAGCAGGCTCCTAATTCTTCTTTGTACAGTTATATAGTTGTCAATCCGATGATTAGTTGCATCCCTAGCACGATTCACAACATTTGACCCCAGCCAAGCGAGCCCGGAATGACTTTATTACATAAGCGCTCGCGAATAGACTTCGCTAGAGCTCCATACCCCTGCTCGACTGCGGCCAAGAAGCAGTACCTATCGTCAATGTCATGTGAAAGTAATCGAGTATCTTGCTGAGCTCCGGCCATGCCATGCTGAGAGTGGCGCCTCAGAGAACACATTCCTGTCGGCGCTACAAGGCCCACGAACTCCGATCCCCGAGGCACGCACAGCGTCATCCCACCCCGCCCCCAGTCGACAACCCAACCCTACCCCCTCCCCCTCCCCCTCCAACCACCCTCGATAAGGCAGCATTCTTCACTTCCAACCTCCATACTGCTGTCAACCCGCCAAAATGGCTGAGCTGGGGAACTCGCCATCGGCACGTCCAGGCTCGGCTGCTGGAAGTGCGAATGTCTTGTCTCCCAAATCATTATCTCCCAGCTTGTCGAAACGCTCACCGGTCATCCGACCCCAAAACATCTCCACCTCCGCCGTATCTTCCACCACCACCACCCCGCTACCCACGCCGCGCAAGGACCCGTCATCGCTGTCTTCTTCGCCTTCGGTCTCGAAACGCTCAAGCTTTGCTGAAAACCTCAACCATCGACCACATCCAGCTTTTCCTAGAGCGCAGCGGACACACTCATTCTCAGGCGCTGCCCTGACGGAACTGCTCATGCATCCTACCAATAAAAGCAATGGGTCAGACCCGCGCTTCAAAGGCCGCGACTGGCGGACCATAGAGATCCACGAGATCGTCGACACGGGAGAAGCACGCTTCGTGGAGCTGGATACTAGCATTGAAGACACGACCAAGCTGCTCATCCGCTCCGGAGCGCCCAATGTCGTACTGGTGAGGGAGTCACATAAGACTAAAACCGCCCTCAGCACATTCGACTTCTCCGACCTCAATGCCTATCTGCTGCTTGTGCTCGGCTTGTCGCAGCCAGACGACGCAGCAGCAGAGCTCGCTGATCGAGCTCGGCGAGGAGATGTCATCCCTCTGAAAGACGTGCAGCATCATCTTGGGCCGAGAGAGGAGCCGGTCATCTTGCCTCACACTGCGACCCTTTCTGCTGCCATGGAAGTTCTGGGGACTGGACACCATAGAGTGGTGATCACAAAAGGGGGCAGCACAGAGGCGATAAGCGTTCTCACTCAGCTAAGACTCGTGAGGTTCTTCTGGGACAATCACGAGAATTTTGCCGCGACTGAGGCATTATACTCAGTAACCCTGAAAGACCTGGATCTTGGAGCGAAAGAAGTGCTTGCCATTAATGGTGACAAGCCAGTCGCGGATGCTTTAAAGCTTATGCACAGCGAAGGTGTCACTTCTTTGCCTGTACTGGACAATCATCGCAATGTGGTGGGCAACATCAGTCATGTCGATGTCCGGGTAAGCTTTGACACTTCATGCGCCTCACTCAATTGCTAACATGTTTTCAGCTACTGACAGACACCTCCGCAATACCGCTCCTGTATTCAACCTGCATTCACTTCATCGGCGTGATCCTTTCGGAACGAGGAATGTACGATGGCAAAGACTCTTATCCAGTGTTTCACGTCACCCCCTTCTCGACACTTGCACACACAGTAGCTAAGCTATGCGCGACCCGCTCTCATCGGATGTGGATCGTCGACGCACCATCACCAAACACAAGCGTTCCTCCATCGCCAGCACCAAAGCATGCTGTTCCTCCGTTCAGCGTCCACACCAACACGAAGTCGGATGATGGTATTCATATCCCACAACACAACACTCCAGCGACAACTCCAGTTCGATCCAACAGCATAAATGAAAGCATGACTCCAGCACCACCTTACACTTCGGCTGTCCCCGGCGTTAGCATCGGTGCGGGACAGCTACCTGGTGCTGCTATGAGCGGAAGACTATCCGGAGTCGTGTCACTGACTGACATTCTGAACCTTTTCGCCAGAGCGAGCGGACTCAAGCCTGGTGATCCGGAGGAGACAAGACGGAAACGAAGGCAGAGTAGCAGCTCCAGCGTCAGGCCAAGTATGGACAGTGTTCGACCAAGTATGGAGGAGCTGTCGAGGAGTGTTGAGCTTGGACGAGCGAACAGTGCAAGCAACAGCAGGGAACGAATCGCGAGATAAGACATCATCACATTTCGTTCAACTCAGCATCTGGGGTTCTCGGAGCACTCGAACCGCAATGACGAGGGTGAACGAGACTCTGCACACGGCGTTTGTTCTTTAGAAGCGTAGGCGTTGGAGGCGTGCTTTGATACGATCATCAAATGAACGACAGTGAATGTCAGAGAAGGACGACTTTCACATGCTTCTGTACCGTTCTGCCAAGCTCTTACCTATGCCAAACTGGGAAAGTGGAGTGCTTATCTCCAGACCTCACTGCCGAGCAAGCGCGGGACACCCGACCACCTGCTGAGTACGACATCAAAGTCAAACAACGTGACCCAGCTCAAGATCCTAAGCAAGAAATTGTATCGCATTATTACTGCCAGCTTAGCGCCTTCCCAATCAATCTTCCGAGTCCTTTCAGCAAGAACAGGCATTCAGTATGGCTACTAGAGGTGAAGCCCTGACGAAAGATCGGCCCTTGCCTTCGAGCGTTCCCCCCAGCATACAGTATGGATCCGATGTTGTCGCCGAGCAGCTCTCCCGTTTGGACATTGACTACATGGCTCTCGTTCCTGGATCTTCGTATCGTGGCCTCCACGACTCGATTGTGAATCTGAAGGGAAATCAAAAGCCAGAGATGCTAATCACACTACATGAGGAACATGCTGTTAGCATTGCTCATGGATATGCCAAAGGTATTTAAATGATGACCGGTCTGTGAACTACTTGCATCAACTAACGTAGACCAAAGTGACCGGCAAGCCAATGGCAGTCGGCTTACATGCCAACGTCGGTCTCATGCATGCCACAATGGCCATCTTCAATGCATTCTGCGACCGCGTTCCAATCTTAATGCTCGGAGCCACAGGTCCATTAGACGCCACAAAACGACGTCCATGGATCGATTGGATCCACACAGCCCAAGACCAAGGCGCTCTCATACGCCCCTACATAAAATTCGACGACCAACCACACTCCCCCCAGGCCGCAATCGAAAGCCTCATCCACGCTTACGTCGCCACAAAAACCAAACCCTCTGCTCCCACATACATATGTCTAGACCACACCCTCCAAGAAACAGAAATCAACGCAAAAGAAATCTCATTCCCCAACCCATCCCGCTACCTCGACGCTGCAACTCACCCTCAAATGCCCAGCAGCGATATAATCCTTCGCATTGAATCCGAATTAAGCGCGAGCAAAAAACCTCTCTTCATGTTCGGTCGCCCTCCTTCTTCCTCATCCTCCAAAAGTCTAATTTCCTGGCAAAAACGCATCCAACTCGCGGAAAAGTTCGACGCCAGAGTTCTCACCGACATAAAACAATCCGCGACTTTCCCAACTCACCACCATCTCCATGTTACACCTCCGGGGATTTTTCTTGAGGAAGAAAGTTGTGAACAAATGAGGGAAGCGGATCTTATTGTTTCTTTTGATTGGGTGGATTTGGCGGGGAGTTTGGGGGCTGCGGGGGTGGATTTGGAGAGTAGGGTGAGGATTGTACATGTTTCGATGGATTCCGGGTTGCATAATGGTTGGAGTAAAGATCATTTTGCGATTCCGCCTGCGGATGTTTTTGTGAATGCGGATGGGGATGGGACTGTGGCTGCGATTCTTGCGGCGACGCATGATTTTCCGGACCGGAGGAGTCTTTGGCATACTGCGGAGCCTTCGGTACAGGAACCTCTCGAGAACCGAAAGGAGAGTTCTGATAACATCTTCATGTCCGATCTCGCACACGCCATATACGCCACAATCCCCCCCGACGAAATCTGCCTCGTGCGCGTCCCACTAGGCTGGTCCGGTCGCGATCTCCGCATTACGCATCCCCTAGGATTCATGGGTATGGACGGCGCAGCAGGGATAGGATCAGGCTGTGGGCAAATCGTCGGAACCTCTCTCGCACTACGCTCCTCTTCCTCAAACCTCCTCCCCATCGGCGTCCTCGGAGACGGAGATTTCCTCATGGGTTCTTCAGCACTCTGGACCGCTGCCAAGTATAAATTACCTTGTTTGGTGATTGTGGCGAATAATGGGAGTTATTATAATGATGAAATGCATCAGGAACGTGTTGCGAGGGTTAGGGGGAGGGAGGTGAGGAATAAGGGGATTGGGATGAGGTTGACGGGGCCGAGGCCGGAGTGTGGGAGGATTGCGGAGGGGTTGGGGTGTGCGGTTGTTAGGGAGGGGAGGGTTGAGGGGAAGGGGGAGTTGGTGGGGGTGATGAGGAGGGCGGTGGAGATGGTTAGGGAGGGGGGCGTTGTGGTTTTGGATGTTGATGTTAAGCCGGATGGGTATGGGGAGGTTGTGAGTAAGTAGGTAGAGGTCGAGGTTGATGGGCTGGACGCCAAGCAAAATGGCCGCTCTTGGCTTGGTGGCAGCACTCGGTGAACTGAAGCACCATTACCAGCTCACTGGTCACTATATTGAATGAATATAAGTTGTGTTTGTAATTTTTGAAATGTGCATTAGGGCCTCCCTGTTGAAAGATCCAAGGCAATATTTGGTTAGTGATCAATGAGCAGGTGGTGTCGTCATCACGTCGTCGAGCTGGACATCGGTTCATCAGCGGGCATGTCGGACGCTCAGCAGGCAACACACGACGCGCATTCGGAGCTGTGCAGTCACGAGATGAGGCTCTGCTGCTTACCACGCACTTGGCAGCGCTGTTCACTTTCCTTGGCCAAGCACGAGGGCGGCCAGTGGATAAGTCTGAGCGATTGGCACGTCACGCCGGTGAGCCTGAGCCAGGTGTCTGCGCAGTGAACAAGCAGATTATTATTGGCACTGCACACTGCTATCAAAAGATGAGGGCTCCCCGCAATAGACATCAATCTGCCTTTTCACCTGCTTGCACCTCACAAGCTTCATGTTTGGTCTCCGTTGCAAGGTGCGGTGTCTGGACAACCTCCCCGGCCTTCTGAAACAGTGACACGTGCAGCAAGTTCACGTGAGCTCAGGCAAAACCAGGCGTACAGCTCTCGGGCGGGGAAATGCAAGTAAGTATCCGCGAAGCAGAGGCAGCTCCCTCTTGTCACAGGCCGTGAGTGTGCGCCAGTGCTTCTACAATCGAGTATCGTATCACTGACTGGAATGTGAAATAGATCAACTCCCGCGATATCTGGATGCACGCTCTGATGCAAAACAGTCCAGGGGTGCAAAGACTACGGTATCTGCCAGAAGCAGCTTCACGCCGTCCCACGCTGGTTCTGTCGGTCCTCCCACCAACATTGCTCGATCGGAAGCTCCATCGACCCCTTTCCACTCCGAGGAATGTGCACGGTTTGCTTTAAGATCTCTTCCTGCTCAGAGCTATCCCCACTTCATCTGTCCCAAGCAAGCGGTCGAAGCATCTCTCTCGTCGAACTCATCTCGCTCGGTCAAGGCAGCCTCTCACTTTGACTACCTGAAGCTGGTAGCGAAGGTCTGCCCACGTGACTACGCAATCTGCTACATATTCAAGTACCTCAGATTTCTCAGTTTCTGCGACCTTGGCATAGCATATGATGTTTGCTCGGAATTGGTAGTAGCATCCGTCTTGGGTGTTGCTCAAGAGCAACTGCTGTACTCGACTTCCGAGTTTTACCAGACTCAAGATCCACCTATCGATTCACCGCACCAGCAACCGCGACCCTCTCATGGAGCTTGTCAAAGCGGTGGCACTCGCAGTCTTGGCTTTCACGGCCTAGGAAAGTCGTTTGGATATGCAAGCTCTGGTCGCGGAACCCTAAAACCGTTTGGGCCTGGACGAGGGCGCCGTGGTCGTGACGACCCACCCAATGGCGTTCCGAGGTCAGAAGAGCGCAAAGCAGGCTCAAGAGGCATGAAATGGATTCCTTGTATCTGTCATATAGCGGAGCCAAGTGTTTATGGCCATGATACAACCAAATACGAGTATATGAGCCAACTAGAGTGAGTAAGGCGGTTTCTAATGCAGGAATATCTTGCTGATCTTTGTCATAGGCGACACCTCAAGAGCCACAACATATACATATGTTGCCACTGCCTTGAGAAGTTCGACGGCAGTGATAAAGCTGAGGCTAGTAAGCGCAAGCAGGACCATGTCTGCTTTAAGCGGTGTAAGAACACTCAATGTCGCAAGAGATGCTTGGTCGGTACAAATCATGATACTGGAGCTGCAGCGTGCACTCGATGCGTAGTCTCTTCAAAACAGCAATGGGAGGCCATCTTCCGGCTTCAGTATCCCGGCAAGCCCATTCCAAATGGCGTCTTCGACGAAGCAGACATCCTCAACCCGTTTGCAGATTTTTCCCAATCTAGTCCTCGGCCTTGGAGCTCACACACTGCGACTATAACATCAATGGACGAAGATACCATACCTAGCGATGAATCCTCCCACACGATGTTTCTCTCCGCATTGAACGGCGAGTCGTCTAATTTAGAAGCTTCTGAACACCGCGACGCACCTAGCAATGCGCCTCTCGTACAGCAAGGCTGGCACTCCGAACGAGGTTCTATCATCGACCAAATGGACTACGTTCAGAGTCTTGCCACTTCTGACGCGAACTCTGATCAAAGCATGGGCCGGGCTCTCCACGCTCCGCAGAACCAGGCCTCACCATCTACTGAAACTGCTGCACCTGGACTGCCTACTGTTGCTTTGAACGAGCAGAGTCTTTTTGGTCCGTTCGCAGACAATGTCGATCCACGGGAACTCACCCGCTCCCTAGCACATGATGCAGCTGAGGATGTGCGTTTGTTCAGCAACGAGCCAGTGCTGCAGTCAACAGTGACGAATCTTACACAAGCTGTGCAAATTGCGAGGCTCACGGAAGAAGTGCGGCAGCTTCGTCAAGAGCAGACAAGGCTTTTCCAAATGATGCATGCACTGCAAGCAGCCTTTCCCGGTATACCTTTCCTTCATCAAGGTCTGGCATGCTAGCAGAACTTGGCAGCTTTCACAGTAAGCTGCAAAATGTTTCAAAGCGTTCACGACAGCGTACATCCGTTACCTTAAGCGGTATGCTTTCCATTAGGTATGAGTTCGTGCCAGCCAGTCATAAGGAGGATAGCAAGCTCTCATTCGTGCAGCGAAATGTCACCGTCGCGCGGCAAACTTGGCAGCCACCTTCTTATGATCTGCCAGTCGGCAACATGTTGTCCACGTCTTTCGAGATTAAGCGATCGAGAGTTGATAGGTAATGGAACCCCGTGCCTCCACAGCCGCGAGGCCGCACCATTCATCTGAAGCCTGCTGACCAGGCCTCAGGCACTAATGCAGTTTGAGCACTGCGCACTGCGCAAATGAGCAAGTTTGGGCCAGGCTTCACTATCACGATCACCAGGTTCTTCCGTTTCATCCTCTCTGGATCCTCTCTGGACCGTTCATGCACCTAGGCGCCCTGCCTGACGTAGCTCCTACATGATACTCGTCTCCTCTCACCCTCACCGGCTGTCCACGTATCTCTCTGCACCGCCATCGTATTTGCATATTGCACGATGTCTGCATATATGATAAGACACGACGACGTTTCCACCTCTGATGGTACGTACCATCGATTTAACCTCGACATCGGAATTCTGACCCTCAATACACAAGACACCGAAGATGAAAAATATGTGGAAAGGGCCAAAGTTCGGCCCTGCTTGCGGGTCCCACGACATGGTTCTTTCACGGTCCGCAGGCTAGCGACGATTGACACCGACGACCAAAGAACAGTCATACTAGTATCGATGAGATACCGCAGCCTCAGGACGGTCGAAGACGAGTATGACGTTGCTTCCGAAGACGAGGAACTACAAATCATGGCGGCGCAATGGACGCGGTGCCTCGTGCTCAGTCCGTCTAGTTTTTCCAGAGATGTGTGGAGCAACCATCACATCAATACTGGAATCGGAGAACTTGGGACTTCAAGGTTCTTGCAGCCTCCAGCAATACAAAGCAGATTTGCAGCAACTCGATCATTCTTGCCTCAAGTCGACTTCAGAGCGCATGCTCAAGCGTCATATCAACGACAGAACAATGGACGCATGGTCTCAGAGGGCCACGGTGACCAATCAACCGATCGAAGACCGAGGGATGAAGTTCCCTCGTCAGTGATTCCCGCCAAACGCTTACCAGATGGATTGTCAAAGATCAACGGAAAGCTTAGCAAGTACGGTGGAGAAGAGGACGAGCTTCTCAAAAAGCGGTCGCCAAAGCACGGCAAGGCTTCCGGCGAAAATATCGAGAACAAAATCCCATGCATATGTTTCATGACAGGCAATCCGGAGTATCGGAAATGCACGAAGCGACACAAATATCTAAGTCATCTGGCACGGCATCTTCATAGCCATGATGTATACATATGTCAGATGTGCTTTAGCAAATTCGATGGCGAAGGGAAGGAAGAGAACCTGCGAAAGAAGCAGACACATCACTGTGTAAAGTTTTGTAATGATGGGAACTGCAAGCGTCACTGTGCGGAGAGGGACAAGGCTTTATTCACTGACAACACTTGCAAGCATCTTGTCAAGTGGCAAGATCGCTGGATTGAGCTGTTTCAGACTCAATTCCCTGGAGTCGTCCTTCCACGACTTGGAACGATGGACAGCTCCACGCCCGATATAAGATCTAGGCAGAATTCCGCCTCGACGCAAATTGGCATTTCCGACAGCCAATATCAGGCCATTGAGCCTACAGGGAGAACTAGAATCTTCACTCGTCAGAATGGTGACGGATCTCAGCCAACAGATGAGGATCAAAAGAACAGCACACACGCTGATTCCGGGAGAACACATCTTTCGAATGAGCGGAGAGGTGTCCAGCCCGTAAGCACGCCAATGCCCCACCTCCATGAATCTAGTCGATCCGTCACAATACCAGAGCATTCACATTCCCTTCCCGACACAAATAGCACCAACACAATCAACTTTCCCCCTTTCGACAATTATGTGGCATCCGAACAGGACTCGGCTCAAAACTCGATGCCCACGAATTCGGCATCGAAGAAAGTCCCAACTGCGGATCTCCAAATCCTTGCGGACCGCGTGCATTCTTTGGAATCTGCTCTCGATCGATCTCTGGGTCGAGAGAAGGGACTTTTGTTGGAATTGACGGAGTTGAAAAGGGGGATTTCAAAGATTTGAAGGTTGTGAATGGGGAATGGGAATGGTTGGCTGTGGGAGTTGACTTGATGAAGGGGTGGGAGTTTTGTCGGAGGTTGTGGGAATGGGATTTAGGGTTTTGAGGAGTGGATTATAGGTTGCGTTACGTTGATCTCTCGTCATTGGAAGATGCCTTCCTTAGACTGTAAGTGAGAAAAAGAGACGAGACGGGGTAGTTGACCTGCTCCCGAAGTGCGCTCTTGGCAGTTGAGAGAAAAATGTACGCTCCTTACTGCTCCGAGCAAGCTACATCGGATTCGTATCATGCTTTCTTTCTTCCAAAGGGGAGAATGAATTCTGTGACTCGGACTCGTCAGGAGCTCGTACGAGACTGAGAAGATTGGGTTACGGATTGAAGAAATATAGACGGACTTAAGCACGGTGATATAACGGCGTTACCAGCACCATTCGCTCGATCTATCTATGACAGCCTCGTGGCGTTCCGCGCATAAATATACAAAAAGTTCACATCCTCTCAATGGGATACGCCAGGCCACCCTCAAACCATGACTTCCTGCACGAAACTCAACATCGCCATAATCGGGTCCGGCCTGGCTGGGTTGACCGCTGCCAGAGTGCTTCGAGAACAGCACAACGTCACCGTTTACGAACGAGGCGATGCCAATACAGCGACTGGAGGGCAAGGAATCATCCTGGCGTCGAATGGCGTCAACATGCTGACGCTTCTGAGCTATAACGCAAGCAAGGCTGGAGCAGTACCTGTGCAAGGCCTGACGACTTATAGCAAAGATGGCACATTGCTAAAAGATGTCGGGATGGATTTGGAACCACGGTATGGGGCTGATTGTCAGGCGATGAAGAGATCGGATTTTAGAGATGAGCTGTATAGACTGGCCACTGCACCGTCCGTCGAGATTGGGATTGGTGGTGATCCTGCACGGGTCGTTCTTAATACACCGGTTGTCGGGCTTGATCCAGAGAAAGGTATTATCGAATTACACGATGGGACTAAAGTCTCAGCAGATGCGGTCATCAGTGAGTCCTAGGCATGTCGGCTCGAGATTTTCTCCCCCTCTGACATAGATGCTTTCAGTCGCCGACGGTGTGCATTCTCGTCTTCGAAGCACCATCATCCAAGACCCTTCCCTCACAGCCAAGAAAACAGGCCTGACTTGCTACCGCATCGCCGTACCAATCTCCTCCGTTCCAACTCCACACCCACGCTGGACATCCCACTGCAATCGCTCTTCGATTTTCTATGCCGGGGACGACACACCTCGAGTCATAACAGCCTATCCAATCCGCAATGCGACAATGTTTAATCTCTCATGTATTCTTCGAACGGAAGTCTCTACCAAAGCTACCACGGAGTCCTGGCATGTTGACGGTGATAGGGAGAAAATGCTGGAAGCGTTTCAAGACTTTGATCCAATGGTGGTCAAAGTCTTGAAGGCGGCGACAGATGTCAAAGTCTGGGAGCTGCAGGACCTGGAACCTTTGAGTACTTGGACGCGAGGCCGGGCGATTCTGATTGGGGATGCGGCGCATGCTATGACTCCGATGCAAGGGCAGGGTGAGATATCCCCCGTGGAGAACTACGGAATTTTGACGCTGACGTGTAGAATTTTAGGTGCCAATATGGCGATCGAAGACGCCGAAGCGTTTCGATTGTTGAATGCTCCCGGTGTGACGAGTGAGGATGTGCCAGAAATTTTCAACACGATGGATGGCGTGCGAAGACCGAGAGTCGCGCGAGTTCTGGCTGAGACGAGGAAGAGTCATTCGACCACCGGGGTTGCGGAAAGGGTGGTCCAGAATATGGATTTCATTTACGGGTACAAGGGAATCCATCATGCTCTCGCAGGAATAAATCCTTGACATTTGCAGCCAGCTAGACGTTGGAACTGAGCCGTAGTCGAACGCAATCATACTTTGTCTCTCCTCTCGGCATTCATCCTTTTTGAACTGCGGACTACCGAACATCCTTCGCCATGGGAGGGTGTCTTAATCTCCAGATCGCTCCTTCGATGCCAACATCTGCTCTACGATTCACCCACGGTCGGTCTTCATCCATTGCGTCATCGCCAGCAAAGAGGTCCTCCTGATAAGCCCAGTCGGGAGAATCGAAGCTGCCTCGCACAAGCACAATTGAGGAGTTCCTATCAATCCCGACCAAGTCTCTTTCTGCGATAGGAGTGAGTAGCTGCAACACCTTGTTGTCCTTGTCGATAGCTTGCACCAGTGCCAAGCCTATGCAATGGCTATTCCCAGGGTCAAGAGCAGGAGTGTGGCCCGTGTTGTTGGGTGGTATGTATGGAAGGTTCTCCTCGAGTGTGTATGCAATGTCATTCGTGGTCAAACAATCAGAATCTTCTAGGACGACCACGGCAACTACAGCGCCTTCGACCGTCTCAGCGAGGAAGTCTGGATGAGGTGCCTGACCGTAAGAAAGAATAGCCCTGACGCCTGCAACTTCGACTGAATAGGGCAGTGCCAGATGACGCATGGAGCTGAGAGGCTTGGATATCCATTTGGCGTTGGTACTTGTCGGTTTGTGGTGAAAGTAGGCCATAGTCTGCATCGCACGCAGCTCTGCGGGGGATCGCATGCCAGGCTGACGCTGACGTCGTGGAACGCGATGAACTTGGTTCGATACAAGTGCTGACAATGACTCCACAACATCATCATCGATAGGCTCTAGAAAAACGATGTCCGAGATCAAAAGAGCTGTTGTCAAACTCGACAAAACATCTGCTCCAAGTCCACTCACCCATCCACAGCTGTTCACGACCAATGGAACGTCTCTGGGAGCACGTCGAACAAGGTCGGAGGCACATTGGAGGTAGTGCTCAGGATCATCCTTGAAAGTCGTCGCAGCTAGTGTGTGAGATCGTACTACACGGAAAGTTCTCGACTGGATGGAAGCTGGATGTGTGAAAGCAGGTCCGAGAATAGGTGCTCTCACTTCGACCAAAGATAGCTGGCCGGGAGGTCCAAATTCTGGTTGACCGGGATCAAGGTCAAGATAAAGGCATTTCTGAATCCCGGCTTTACTAGTTATCATGTTGCATACCAGCCGATTGAAAGTCGACTTGCCGGAAGACTTCGGTCCGACAGCCATGGTCCTCACGGCAGGGCTCGAGTCGAGCTTTGCGCTGAGTCTTGACAGCACTTTCTTTACTTGTTCATCCGTATCGAGCGGTGTCAAGGCGCGATTGAGAGGATCGTCGGCAGTGCTCGAGAGAAGCACGAAAGACCGGCCCTTTGCATCGTCTCTTGCAAAAATGCTGCGAAACATTGGACTAAGGCGCTCAAGTTGGGACAGCCCCCGGGTTGCACAAGAAGTGAGAAGGATAACAGTGCCATCTCTCTTCGCCGTGATCGTCGGCAAAGCTGATGTGCTTGGAGCGTAGACTTTCTGAGACCCCAGGCCAGAGTGCAGCATTGCGCCGTAGATTGTGACCACACCCTGAGGCACCTCCAGATCATATTCTCCCACGAGCACGACAGTCTCTTCGGGTTTGAGCCTTAGCTTGAGTCGATGCTGATCATCTTCGAGGACATTTCCTTTCCCTCGTGTGAAGGTCGATACGGCCACGGCAGGTCTTGGCGGTACGGCCACATGGTCCACATCTGATGAGAATCCCGCAGGAGTCACATTGCCACTGGATCGTCCGCCGCAGGGTGCATTCGCGGTCTTTGTGGCTAGACATTCCGCGTTCTCGTCTCCTTCTGAGCCTTCTATTTCAATATCGGGTTGCGTTGTCTTACGAGCTGCGGCGAATGCACTGAGCTGCGGCGCAGAGATGCCATCACTACTGAATAGATTCTTCTCTGAAATGGCGTCAATCTTCGGCCTTCCAAATGCCTCTCGTGCTTTTCTCTTGTGGGCCATGTTGTCGTTTCAAAGAGGACGTAGGTAGGAAGAGATGTGCAGCTTTGGCGGACCGAGCGCCGGCGCCAAAAATTTCCAGGATCCGAAGCGAAAGAAGATTGAAGATTGATCTTTGCGACTTTTGATCCCGTCGATGGACCACGACCCAGCACAATATCTGCTTGGGGCGCTGCAGGGCAACAATGGGCAAGGAAAAGGCTCAGAAGGTGACAAAAAAGAAGGATGAAGGAAAGAAGAGCAAGAAAGCTGCCAAGTCTGCAAGCAAAGAATCTGCCTTGAGCGCGCAACGTGTTGTGGAGTCTGAGAGCGAGCAAGAAGCAAAGGTCGCAAAAGCAGAGAAGAAAACGAAGAAGAGTGAGGCCAAATCGCCGAAGAAAACCAAGGCCGCCGCTGCTCCACCGCCGCCGCCGCCCAAAGCGCCCACGCCGAGCGAGAGCAGCGATGAAGAGGAGACCGATTCCGACGAGGAAATGCCAGATGCGCCGATTGTGCCGAGAAAGCCAGAGTCAATCCCACCAAAGATCAACGGCATCAAGCGGAAGGCGGAAAATGAAAGCAGTCTGCGCGAATCTACAAAGCTTGAAGCAAAGCGAGTAAAGACTGCTGCAGCGCAAGAAGATGCTAAAGATTCGTCTGATGAGGAAGAGACAGATTCAGAAAGCAGTGAAGAAGTCGAAGCGGAGAGGGTGTCAACAATAGCACCCAAACCTCCTGCTGCTACAGCCAAAGCGAAGCTTACGAAGCCGGCTACACCTGTTCAAGCAGAGGACAAGGATAGCGACTCCTCAGATGAGTCTTCAGATGAGCAGGAGACAGACTCAGAAGAGGAGAATAAACGCGATGAGGGCAACGCGGCTGCACACAAGCCTGGAGCTGCTATGGCGCGGACAGAGGCTGTGCCTGTGAAGCCGTACAAGCCGCCTCCAGGGTATTCTGCAAGCTCGATCGCCAAGTCGATGCTTCCTGCAGGACCTATGACCGGCAAGCAAGTATGGACGATTACTACACCATCTAATGTGCCTATAACATCAATCAAAGAACTGGCGCTTGATTCGACGCACACTGGCCTGCCTGTGCTCGAGCACAACGGCACAAGCTACATTCTGAGCGAAGACAGAGGTGTTGAATCCGACACAGCAGTGATTCCGACTGCACATGGCTACGATCCCGCTCCTCAACGGATCGCTATGAAGCTGGTCTTGCAACGCAAAGTTGATTTGCCCAACTTGAGCGCGAAGCGAGCTGACACTTCTACGGGGAGTAAAGCAGCAGCGAATATCGCGAGGCCGGCAGTGTCAACAGCTCGTCCGCAGCCAAAAGGGATGAGAATGAGATACAAACCTCCAGGCTTCGGCGCGGGTGATCCAGGGCTTGGCTCTGATACAGACGAGGAGGCCTCACGACCCTCCAAGAAAGACAAATCGCTCCAGTTCCCGAAAGCACTCGGTGCTCATGGCGCTTCTGATAAGCCTGACGCAGAGACACCGAAGGTGAAGAAGTCTAATAAGAAGAAAGAGAAGATTGAAGATGTCGACATGGTGAATGGCCATGAACCTGCGCCGCCGTCGGAGTTGAGGCTGTCGAAGTCTGTTTCGAAAGAGTCGGTGGAGAGAGCGAGCTCGAAGGATGGTCTCAGCAAGGAAGAGAGGAGGAAGCGCAGGGAAGAGAAGCGAGCGAAGAAAGAAGCCAGGATCAAGTCGACCACCTAGATCATGTCGTTACACCAGATTGTAAACATTGCATGTACAAAACTTCCACAACAGGCTGAGGCTGCGTGTAGCGCGTTCGGCAACGCCATGCCACCGCAGTCTCTCGCGGAATCTCCGACTGCCTGGATCCGGGTCGTGGTCATTGAGACCGCCGAAAGTATCATCGATCTAACATGGGTCCACGACAGATTGTTGCTCTCTCGAAAGGAGGCACGAGGCAACGAGGCAAAAAAAAAAGTCGCCACAAAAGATCTCGGCACGGATCGCGTTCTAGCCACGCGACGTGGCTTGCTAAGGTTTATTGGCGCTTAGGGCTTTTCGGCACAATCCGGGCACAACGCTCAACTTGGACTCGATTTCCGCTTTACGCACTCAGGCCAAGCTACTTTCGACTTCGCCTTCTCCTTTAGCGCTACACTATCTATGTAGTCCATCAGATGGCCTGGAAAATTTGGGTATCTCGACTCAACCTGCAAGCCATCGCCGCCCATGTCCGGCATGGCGATGGGGCATGTGTGTAAAAGCAATAGCTGAGTGCTTGGTATATAATTATCACAAGCTCGCTCGTTGCGCATTGTGTAGGCCATCAAACTCCCATTCCTTGCATCTGTATACATTCGTTTCACCCATCATGCATTTCACTCCTCCGATCCTCCTTGGTCTTGCCACCTCATCACACGCTGTCCCGGTTCCCAGCTTGTTCGGAGACCTCATCACTTCTATCATCGGTGGTGTTGAGAATGCCGTCACTACTGTCACCTCCGCAGTCACTTCACCAGACAGGTTGGCATCTGCAGTCGCCAAACTTGGCGTGACTCTCCAGACCAACGCCGCAAGCCATGGAAGCATTTTCAGCTGCAATCAAATCGCGTTTGGCCAAGTCGACAGCTTGATCAACAAGATCGCACACTCCATCACCTGGCCAAAGCAAAAGAAGAACTTCGTCAATTGGAAGACCTACAAAGCCAATGGTGTCAACTTCGGTGCATGGCTCGAGCAGGTAAGAATAGCTTTTCTCGTAGCTGGAAAGTGGTTTCTAACGACACGCTTTCAAATTAGGAAAACAATTACGATCTTGACTGGTGGGCAGCCAATATCGGCCCAAACTATCCAGATGAATGGACTTGGTGTGGTGCCGTTGGCTTCAAGGTCTGCGGACCTAAGCTTGATGCTCGCTATGCTTCCTTCATCACCAAAGCAGACATCGACAAGCTAGGCAAACTTGGCATCAACACTCTTCGCATCCCAACCACCTACGCGGCATGGGTGAAGGTGCCAGGAAGCCAGCTCTACACTGGCTCCCAGCAAGCCCACTTGCGAGCGATCACGAATTACGCGATCGACACTTACAATATGCACATCATCATCGGCCTGCACTCTCTCCCCGGCGGTGTCAACACGCTCGGAATCGGCGAGGCTTTTGGGCGTAGCGCCTGGTTCTTCAACGCCACGAACCTCGACTACTCCTTCCGCGCCATTGACTCCATTCTCTCCTTCATTTCCACATCTGGCCGCACATATGCCTTCACAATCGCACCCATCAACGAGCCATCAGACAACTTCGCCGGCTTCGCAACACCTTCTGGTCTCACCACTAACGGCACGAACTGGATCAACACTTACATGCAAGGTGTCCTCTCCCGCATCGCGAAGGTCGACAAGCGCATCCCACTCATGCTGCAGGATGCTTTTTTCTCGGAAGAATACTGGTCACCGTTCTACCCAGCCAACACAAACCTCGTCATCGACAGCCACATCTACTTCTTCGCCGCCGCAGGAGCTTACTCGCAATACGTCGCTCCAGCGGTCTGCGGACAGGCCAAGTACATTGGACAAGGAGATGGCAAATTTCCGGTCTTCATCGGCGAGTGGAGTCTGCAGACACTCTACAACAACACTTTGAGCTATAGGAAGACGCTGTATGATACTCAGGTGTACGCTTACCAGGAGTATGCGAGTGGAAGTGCTTTCTGGAACTATAAGATGTTGAATGATCAGGATGCTGTGGATGGTGAGGGCATGTTGCAGGATTACTGGAGCTGGAGTCGTTTGGCTGATGCTGGTATCCCCAGTGCGAAGGGTGTTAATGGGAGCTGCTGCTAGAGACGAGAGGAAGGAAATTTATGGATTTATGACCGACATGGACCTGCAAACCGAATAGATCATGTGTATACGAGAGGTAATAACGAAATTAAATTGACAGAACGCAACGAATCGCTCTCTGTTTTGCCAAAGCATGACTTCCTGCTAGTATTCGACGTTCAGCTTGACGTGCTGGAGCGTGGTGAGGTGAGGTCAGCAGAATATCAAGTTGAGACGCTGTTCAATGCGGTTGTTGTTCACCCTCGCCATGTGCATCATCATTGTGCACGCTCTGTGGTTTGTGGAGTGCCTTCCGAGGAAGTTCTAGCGGTTCCAAAAATGGGAAGAAGCTGGACCAAGCTCCAGCCGCCGACGATCATCACAATGACGTTCAACGGCAGGCAGTCACGAGTGACCCATTCTCCCTTTGACAGCCATTATTCCTGCACTCAATCCCAACACTCGACACACGCAGAACCCGAGTACCTACCACAAGTACCTCAAAACTCCCCCAACAAACTCCAACACAATGTTCCGCCAACACCTCGCCCGCAACGTCCGCCTCTTCAGCACCTCGGTGCGCGTCCAGAAGGGTCCAGTCGAAGCTGCAAAAGACGGCTTGAAGACCGTCGACAAGAGCGTATCGCAGACGATTGTCAAGGGAATTGAGAAGGGCGGTAAGTTACGCGGCTACACCAAACTCCGGCACAATTGCACATCGTTACTAACGACATTGACAGAGGAGGCCGCCGCAGCAGCAAAGAAGGCAGCAGGCGCCGGAGCAAAGGAGGCGGAGCGAAAGGCTGAGGATGTGAAGGATAAGGCTCAGGATGTGGCCAATGATGCGAAGAAGTCGACCAAGTTGTAGGAAGGTAGAAGCATGGTCAAGCATGAGGGGCATGAATATGAAAACAGGGATCGGGAGAGGTGGGATTGATGTCCTCTGCTGCTGTTGCCGAGGATCATCATGACCATTGCGTAGAGAGATCCTGATATACGATGGCCTTGTGTATTGTAGCAACAGCATTGATGAAATGTGATGCGTGGACGATGTTGTAATCCTTGTCAGACGCCTGGACGGCGCCTGGTGACCCTGGCCCTGGCCCTGGTCCTTGCTCAACGCTTGTTGAGGCTGAAGATGACATCCTGGTCATAAGCGCTTCTCACTCGCACTGTTGATGCGTACATTTATTGCGGCTGGAATTGGCAATAGCAATAACTGACAGACACAACACTCGCTGTCAATGCACGAAGAGCTCCCAGCTTTCCCCTCCCCCAGATCTCGAGCTCCAGTCCTGCCGATGACAAACGTGGCACAGAAGCATGGCTACACGACTTCAGCCCCAATCTGAACATTGAAAATAGCTGAGGATACAATAGCCAAGAACGATTCGGTCAGCACGCACACTGAAGCGGTATACCGAGTATCTTGGCAAGCGAGGAGGATGCACGGCTGAAGCATTCAGGCTGGGCAGGGCATTGTAGAAAATAGAGGAAGGAAGATGGAGATACTCCATTTGTTGTCCCTTCATTTGTACTGCATTATTGAAGAGCTGCGACAATGAGGGTAAAAGAATCGATTTCTACTGCACTGGCATTCGGTGAAGTCTGGGTGTTTGGATATCAAGAGCAGGCCCATAGCTTTGGCGACCAATTGACCGTGTCGACTACATCTGGACGAATGCACGGCAAGATCGGAGACACATACCCAAGCGTACGGCAGTTCTTAGGCATCCCATACGCTCAGCCGCCGCTCGGAGATTTGAGATGGGCTGCTCCGGAGCCCTTATGGCAGCCAGATGCTCGCATCGCAGCGACAGAATACACTCCGCAATGTATGCAGGTAGCTGGAGATGCTCCGACCATCTACAACCAGGAGCTCGCGGACCCCAAGAACCAAGAATTTCTAGAAGAAATAGGCGTGTCTGAAGATTGTCTGACCTTGTCTGTATATGCGCCCTCCGTCAACAGGACCAAGAGTGAGTCCCTGCCAGTTTTGATCTGGGTTCACGGCGGCGGATGGCAAGGAGGTGGCGAATCCTTGGGACAGATTCCAACGCAATGGATTGATCGAACTCCGACCCATATCGTGGTCAAGATCAAGTACAGACTCAACATCTTTGGCTTCCCAGGCGGAGTGAGAGCCCTCAAAGACTGGAATCTCGGGTACCTGGACCAACGTCTCGCTGTGGAGTGGGTGAGGGATAACATTGCAGCATTTGGCGGTGATCCCTCGCGAATCACTCTATGGGGTGAATCTGCTGGAGCAGGATCTGTGGATGCTCATACATATGCTTGGCCGAAGGATCCTATTGCCAAAGGTGTTATCCAAGCTTCGAATCCGCCAATAATCGCGACTTGGGGTGACAGGACCGGCATGAACTTTTCTGGTGTCGCTGCAAATCTTGGCTGCCATGGTGAAGACCAGCTTGCTTGTATGCGTAAAGTGCCCGCGATGGATATTGCAAACGCCCTCCCAGAACCGGGTAATTCGGCCGCTCTGTTCTACCCTACAGTAGATGACAAAGTTGTCTTTGCCAATAGGTCTGAGCGAATTCTTTCTGGAAAAATCGCTAAGATCGTGAGTCTTGATCAAGTCATTCTCTTCTTCTCCAAAACCTGATCTTCCTCTTCATAGCCCACCATCATCGGAACGAACAAAAATGAAGGAATCGGAAACATCGCTTACGACCTCAACGGCGCCAACCAAACCGCAGCTCACGAGATGCTACTCACAGCATTCTTCTGTCCTATCACAGCCATCATCAAGGCCAGACAAAAGTCCAACCTGCTCACATATCGATTTCTCTACTCCGGCAACTTCACCAATCTTTCCCCAAAGCCTTGGATGGGCGCGTACCACGGTGCGGAGATTTCGATGCTTTTCGGCACGCATCCCAACTTTCGCGGGAACAGTACGAAATTACAGTACGAGACCAGTCATGCTATGCAGGATGCTTGGGTTGCGTTTGCGAGAGATCCGGGCCGTGGGTTGGAGCGGGAAGATTGGAAGTCTTATGACGACTTGGGTGAAGGTAGTGTGAGGGATTTTGGGGATGGGGTTGCTGTGAGGAATGTTAGTGTTGCTGGGATTGAGGGGGAATGTGATGATTATAGTTGATAGACGGGAATTTTTATGGCCATGTGGAAAGATTGAGCATTTTGTTTGGAATTCGCCTTGATGAATGATAGAATACCGTATGCCCCGAGCTTTCCCCTGACTCTCCCGAACATCCGATACTTTCAAGCACTCGTAGCAACTTCATCTTTGCAAACATGTCTAACTTACCTGGAAGCACACTTTCATGAGATCCTCGGAGGTAAATATTGCAACAGTTGGATTCCAAGAGCAGAAGTCGCTCCCAAAACGATATCGCCTATTTAACTCACCCTGGAACCATGGCCGGCCTAGTTATTCCATCTTCCCCGCTGCGATATCATAGAACTAGAGTTCGCAGATCCAGGAGCTTGGGTCAAGGTAGGCTGACCACACCTCCTCTCCAGCAATAACTACGTATATCTCTTGCTATCTTTACAATTCCACCCAATTCTCAACACCCTTCATGAATGCCACCATGCGGCGTACTCTCCCCATACTATTTCTAGCAGCCAGCACTTACGCAGAAACAACCGGCTGCACAGTCGAGAACTTCAAAAAAACCTTGCCGGATGCGCGAGGAGTCAAGATTGTGGATATCTACGCTGAAGAAGTGAAGCAATGGAATCAATATGAGCTTGTCACGCCTGCGATACCTGCTTTGCCGGCGGAGATCAGGCCTATTGATTTCTGTAATGTGACGGTCGTGTATACGCATCCCGGTATGTTTGAACTTTGCACACAAGAAGAGGGGTGAATGTGCTGATGACAATGAAAGGACTCGGTGATAGTATACGTATCAATGTATGGCTTCCTTTGGAGGAGACGGAGTGGTCTGGCAGATTTTTGGGTCAGGGTGGTGGTGGTTGGGTAAGTCCAATCAATCAAAAATGCAACCTGCAAACTGAGACGCTGAACGTGTACGTATAGTGCGCTGGTAACGAGGGTGCTCTGGCTGCGGGAGTATCAATAGGTTTTGCGAGTGCAAACACGGATTCTGGGCATACTTTCTTTGGCGATTTCGGATTTCGCTCTTTGAACTCGTCGGAATGGGGTCTGATCAGTCCTGGAAATGTGAACTTGCATCTGCTTCAGAACTTCGGTTATAGATCTCTGGATGAAATGACGCAGATTTCGAAAGCTATCACCGAGCATTACTACGACAAGACGATTACGAGAGCGTACTGGAATGGATGCAGTACTGGTAGGTGACGTCCGTAGTTTGATGCTGGACATGATTGCTGACTGCTACATACTTCAGGTGGCCGACAAGGCCTTGTCCTTGCACAGCGATATCCGAAGCTTTATGATGGCATCCTAGCAGCTGCTCCAGCGATCAATTGGGTCACTTTCTTAGTTACCGAGCATTATGCTCATGTCAAGATGCACGAACTCAATTACGTCCCACCACCTTGCGAATTCAATGCAATCACAGCCGCAGCGGTGCAAGCCTGTGACAAACTCGACGGCATCGAAGACAACATCATCTCTGCCCCCGACCTCTGCAACTTCCAAGCAAGCTCCGTAATCGGCAAAAAATTCACCTGCGGCAAAGAACAACGCAAAATCTCCAAAAACGCCGCAGAAATCGCCCAAGCAGTCTGGACAGGTCCCATCCGCAAAGGAAAACCAATCTGGTACGGTCTCAACCCGGAAGTCCAACTGATGGGCTACGAACCCCTCTTCACCGGCCTCGCCAACACAAAATGCGACAAAACCAACAAAAACTGCAAAAGCGCCCCCTTCCCCATTTCCGCCGACTACCTCAAAACCTGGCTAATAAAAGACCAAACCTACGACATCACCACCATCGACGAAGCAGGTTTCGACCAACTCCTGAAAATCTCTCGCCAAGAATACCATTCCCTCATCGACTCCGCAGATCCAGATCTCCACGAATTCAAAGACTCCGGTGGGAAACTCTTGACCTGGCATGGTTTAACCGACCAACTCATCCCTCCAGGTGGAACGAAAGATTACTACGAACGCGTCAAAGCCGAAGTCCCAGATATCGATTCTTTTTTTCGACACTTTGAAGCGCCCGGGGTGGCGCACTGTTTCGGTGGGCGGGGGGCTATGCCCATTTTGGCGATGAATTCTTTGGTGCATTGGGTTGAGGGAGGCGTGGCGCCGGAATTTCTCGATGGGCAGAGTTTGCCGATGCCTGGTGCGCCTATGGAGAGTTTTAGGAATTTTACGAGGCCGATTTGTAGGTATCCGAAACATGCGGTGTACAAAGGTGGGGATGTGATGTTTGCGGGTTCGTTTAGGTGTGAGGAGGATTTTGGGGGGTTGGATCAGGGGGGACGGGATGAGTTGTGAGGGTGGGAAGGACATCGAGTGGCTAGGTTGATGGGCGGTTTGATGATGAGAAAGGTGGTTTGGGTAGCTAGAGGATTGTAGATTGTAGGACGGAGAGAAGCTATCGTAAAAGTATACGATGCTGTAAAGATGTCATGCTTTCCCTGGTTTTCTAATCGCCATCTTCATCCCTTGGCATGTTGACACCAAGCGACCTCATTAAGTTTCCCGCAGGTCCACTCATACCAGCCTGGCCCTTGAAGCTCTCAAGCATATTCTCCGCAAGACCCAAATCCACATCATTATAGTCTTCGTAATCATAGATCAATTCTTCGTCGCCAGGTCCGATTTCTTCTGCATCATCCTCTGCAAAGCTCACATTCTTCTCCGCAACCATGTTGGCCGGTCGAGGGGGACCGAAGAAGGGTCTGTCGGTGGCTGATGAGAAGGTGTCCAGCGCTTTGCCCTTGCCTTTGTCATTATTCTCGACTTTCTTGATCCTTCCATTGCTCAGATCGAGTGCGCCATGACCTTGGAGCTCTTCTCCCAGTGCTCGCAGGATTTCGCGGATTTCTTCATCTTCCTCGAGATCGCTTGCATCTTCGGCATCTTGTAGCGCTAATACGCGAGCTTCTGCAAGAAGACCGCTCTGTTCAAGCTGCTCTTTCGGCATGGCTTGTGTCTCACGCATGGCGTTCTCGAAATCCACGTCATCAATATCCGACTTCTCCGCTTTTAGGTCATCTTCTGAGTCCCCGTCCTCGCTACCGCTGATGTCGTCAATACCATCCACGCCAGCTTCGTCGTCTTTCATGAAGTCTTCGAAGCGTGACACCATCTTACGCAGATTTTCCTGTGCACCCTTATCTCCAAAGCCATCCTTAGTTGTCTGCTGACCAGATGCTGCTTTTCCCGAAAGTTCCTTCTCGAAGTCGTTGTAATCAATGTCAAGCCATTTCTCATCGCCCTCAGTCTTCGGCCAAGATGAGATTTCAGCATCGTCTGGCAGGACTTCCTCGCCGCTTTCGATATCCTCCAACAGCAGCTTCATCTCGCGCACTTCTCTATTGTCTTGATTCTGAGGATCGGATAGCAGTATCTCAAAGCCGCATGCAAGCTTCATGCCCACCATCACCTTCTCGTCCTGAAGCCTTGGAATGATGCCCGTCCATGCTGGAGGAGCATCGAAAATTTGACTCCGCAACTGAGCGAAGCCGACTTTGGTGAACTTGAGACTGACTGTGACGAAGTCTTCTGGTGCAAAGACTAGCGTGGCTGTATCTTTCGTGCTCAGTGGCTTTAGACTGATCGGATCACGCAGGTAGAACGCTTCAATAGCAGGAGAGATATAGGCAGGATTGCGGTGCAGAAGGTACGCAAGTCTTCTAGGAATTGTGATGAGACCGTTGTGCAGAGAAGAAGAGATAGCGTAAGGATACTCCCGTAGTCTGTGAAAAGCTTCCTGCTCTACAGCGCTTTCAATCAAAAGCTTGTCCGGGGTTTGGCGGATTATGTTGAGGGCGTCTTGCAAAGTCAGGTTTTGCGATGTCAAGCCATTTTCCAGTGGAATTATCTTGAGATGACCTGCATTCATCCAGACGCGGTTCTCAGCAATTTCTGGATTCAGCCACTTCGGTAGCGCATTCGCAGCTTCTATGAGGAGGAACTCGCCATCTGTGTCGTAAACTCGGATCCAGGCATTGGGAAACTGTGAGCTGAGCTCCCGCAGAAGCCAAACAATGAGCCACTCATCAGCAACCGAGTCGCCAAAGTCCGTCCTGCCCTTGAGAAACGGTGTGGCTTTTGACGCCTGCGAAATATCGGACCTGGCGAGATCTGGTCTTGGAAGGAGGTTGAGGTTAAAATGCTGCCGCTGCCAGATATAATCTCGGAGGTGCCTCTTCTTCAAATCGTTTGCTGCGCGAAGGATTTCGGTAAGCCTTGCTCGTATCGCTGAGGAGCTGTTCAATTTCTGGTCGATGACGTGAATGATACACTCCACGCAATCGTCTGGGAGGCGCCTCGGAAAGCCATCGAAGCCTTCGCCAAACCACTTCAAGCCGTCATCTGGGATCTGCGCATCCATATTTCGCGTTTTGGGTAATTCTCGACCGCCCGTAGCGCTCGTGTCTTGCTGTTCCAAGGTGATGTTTCAGTGTATATGCTGCATGAACGAGACGGAAAAGTGAGTGGAAAGAAGGAAAGAATGTTCGCCCTCGATCTCGGAAATACGTCGGCCCGAGCCATCCCTGGACCCACTTTTCGTCCGCCCAGACAATGCCTGCCTTCCTTCTTTCTCCTCTCCTTTCACATGAACAATGACCATCGCTCAGTACGCGATCCGAGAATCTGACGGCATGGCCGACTTTAGACTACCTAGGCTGTACGTTTGGAAGATATGCCAAGGGCATGTGGATGAATGGAAGAATGGCATTGTTGCACCATTCAGATAGCTCACGACTTGCGCGGCGACCAACTTCAGATTCCTCGATCTCCCACCTGAGATCCGTAACCGCATCTACAACCTGGTTTCGACTACCAAGAAGCTGCATGTGAGGACAACCGCGTGATTGCGTAACTTGTGTCGATGTGTCTCGAAGACACTAAAGCAACGCCACTGAAAAGGCTCGAATAAAGCGGTATTGTTAAAGAGTAAAGCACTCTAGCACAATTTTGCGGTTTTGATACATGGCGGTCACGGAACTTCTGAATGGCGGTTCCACATGCCAAGCCTACTCTCTCCAAACAAAGTCGGCACTCGTAGCAATCGAGGGCCCCCTCGCGGCCTAGAAGGGTGGTTGTAGAGGAGGTACGATGACACGCCGCCTGCATAGCGGACGGGTGTCGGTTGCGGAGCCCTCGTCGGCGACCCCCTGGAGTTCTATCCTTCTAAGGACGTAGCGACCGGAACCCGAGGGACGAGGGGAGTATAGGTCGCGCTTATCCTGTCGTTCGCACACCGTAAACGTACCGCCATCTGGAATTTTCCTGACCGCAATTTATAAAGACCGTTCTTTGTGTCAGCATGAACCCGAGAAGCTTCGTCGCACTCTTTGAGCCATGTCATTTTTCCAGACGAGTCCTCTCTTGCAGGACCACACCAGCTGGTATTCTATTCCCAGCATTACGAGGAAGCCCGCTATGTCATATGTGAAGTCTACCATCAAGCTATTTCGCGATATTCCATGCTCTTCGACGCGTCGGACGAGATCGATGGCTTGGTGGCAGTGCAAAACTGGTCGGATCGGGAAAGAGGTAGGCAAGGCCCGCGGAGAGGGAACATAGCATTAGCATCATCGCGGGTGTAGAGATCTCGTTGCGTAGTCAGAAAGAAGCAATGTTGATGAGGAGCGTATATAGAGATGCAAAAGAGGATTTGGCGTCGTGAGAGCTTGGCATGGCATGCTGATGTTGAAGTGAGGCCTCCAGCTGGCGGGAGATCGACAACCATGCCACGCGACAGTAGACCAGGATTAATGACGATCAATTGAGCTTCTCGGAACTTCATCACTTCTGAACACAGACATTTTCATCGTCAATAGAGAGATTGAAGCTTCACAGACTCATGATCCCTTCGAGCGAGATCCAAAACTTTGAGATTTTCAAAGACTGCTTGTCGACGACTATAATTTCAAGACTTGCCCCGGAAAGTGGCAAAGCATCAAAGAAGGTGAAGGGGAGAAGGAACGAGATAAAGCCGGTACGAGCAGTCGCAGCGGGGAATGAATATGGGAGCAATGACACGGCGGATTTGGCGGACTTCATAGAGGTGAGAGCCTTTCATTCGCCTACTAGATATCCACTGAAGAGGCATAGTATCTCGCAGAGGAGATCTTCCTCGCTCTACCAGCCGAGCTGCGAACGTTGTCATATGCTGCAGTGCAAGAGGACTCCGATCTAGCAGACCGCTACACATTGCCGATAGACACATCCTTATTGGAAAACTTGGCAAAGCCATTGCCTCTCACCATTGCAGATTCATTGACTTCGTACGGGCTGCTCCAGGATGAGATTGATTTGGAGAAGTTCTTGGAACCAGCTCTCACGGCCTACGTAACGGCAATGATTGCTGCACCGCCAGAGCATACTCCAGCTGTGATGGCATCCCGTCCAGAGGCCTGCGAGATCTGTGACCGAGGCCATCTTCCGCTGACGTACCATCATCTCATACCAAGGGCTGTGCATGCCAAAGCTGTCAAGCGTGGTTGGCACAAGGAATGGGAGCTGCAGAAAGTAGCGTGGCTATGTCGAGCGTGTCATTCGTTCGTACATAAGATCGCATCAAACGAGATGCTAGCGAAGGAGCTCTATAGCGTCGAGTTGCTGGTAGAGCGGGAGGATGTGCAGCGGTGGGCCTTGTGGGTGGGTCGCGTCCGATGGAAGGCAAGGTAGCATGAATCCTGATGGTCCTGCAGGCGGTCTGGCGATTGCTGGAATTATAAGCAGTTGTTAGAAGATTTTAGTGCCCGGCCGATCAGCCCCATATATAATTTCCGAGGCATTCCTTCGTAGATAACCGGATCTGAGAAGTGTTCATATTGCTAGCCAAAACAGGCATTCCGTAGACGCTAGGGTCCTTAACTTTATGTCGTCGAAACCCAATAGTATAGGGCCTATTTTCTATATAATAGGAGGTGTTGTAGGCGTTATTACGAGTGTCCTATAATACTTATTAACTCTAGTAATACTTATTAACTCTAGCTCTTTAATATAGCTTATCTTATCCCTATTTCTATAACCTATTAACTGCGCTATTCGCTGTTTAGTCCGTTAACCTAAGGCTCCTTTATACCGAAGAAATAGTTTAAATAGGTATAGCCCTTTATAACTAACTTCTAGAAGAAATACGAGGGCGCTCGTTATAAGGATAGGTTGTCGCAGCGGACGATATACTACTATCGTTGTCGGCGTAACTTTAATCGCAATCGAGAGCTAGGTATTAGTATCTATAAGGTAGAGTTTTATAAGGACTTATACGATATATCGATAGCTATAATCGCGGTATTTGATTAGAAGGCGGATAAGGAGCCTCGTAGCTATAAGATCGCTCGACTAGTCTAATACTTATCTAATAACTTAGTTATGTCTTTAAAAGAGGCTTTAGCTTCCTACGAGTCCTATTTAGGTAAATAGCCTTGCTATCTTAAGAGGTACTCCTTCTTGCCTTATCTAATCCGATGCTTTAGGATACGTTCTATAGACTACAGCTCTTCGCTATTAGCTAGTATGTCCTCGGATTTAGTAGGTGCTTTATCCCCTTCGCGTAGGTAGTACGGCTTAAGGAGGGATATATAGAAGGTATTATAGATAGTGTAATAAGGTAGAAGCTATAGTTAATAGGCCTAGGTGCCCCTAGGTTCTCGGATACGGAAAGGGCTAATGTACCTTAGTACGAGTTTAGGCCTTGTTTTGCTATTAGGCGAGGGGTGTTTGCGGATACGGAGGTTCTTCGTACTAAGTATAACTAGGTCGCCTTACTTAAAGGTTATTAGAAGGTAGTGTTTGTTATAGTAGGCCTTCTAATAGGCCTAGGCCTTTGCTAGTTTGTTAGCTATCTTAGCGTGAATTTCTTGTATCTTTTAAACCCTCTCGATAGCCGCTAGTGTTTTAGGGGCTTAACGCGCTTCCCTTTCCTTACGCTCGGCCTCGAGCGAGGTAAATGGATCTTGTAGTAAGGCAGCGTTTTAGCCTATTATAGCTATATATAGTAAAACCTTGGTTAATAAATATACGCTATTATTATATACAAATTCGGCCGGTTATAGGAGGTCGACCTATCTATTAGGGTCCTTATTAATATAGCTTCGTAAGTATTGCTATAGCGTAGCATTCTGCCTATCGGTCTAACTATCTATTTGTAGATAGAATGCTATAGATAGGCGATGCTTAAGTCTTAGCTATAGGCAAATCTTACTCTAATAGTAAGATATAAATGTCGAGCCTCGATCGGAGACTATCCCCTTAGGGGTCCCCTAATAGCTATAGAAGATATTATTCTATAGCGACTTAGCTAGGTTAATAGCCGTCTAATCCTTTCGGGCAGGAATGTAACGAGCGCCCTTAGTAAACTAGTCTACGACAACTAGGATAGCATTATATATATCCTTACTGCCCCTACGCTTAGTAGGCGGAAGGCCTATAATAAAATCTATTATAAGCTTAACAAATAGCTTCTTTAGAATAGGGAGTAAAGACAACTCGCTAAATAGTAAGTATTTCGGTACTTTAACTCGTTAATATACGGCATACGTGTTTACGTAGTCCTTTATATCCCGCTTACTATTTAGCTAGTAGTATATACGCGATAGTAGCTCGTACGACCTCTCTATACTATAGTAACCGGCAAGCTTACTATTATAGTATCGCTTAAGAAGTTCTTATCGGATCGAATATTTAGCGGGGACATAGTATCTACCCTTAAACTTTAAATAACCTTTGTTATCGATCGACTAATTGTTACTCTTGCTAGTTCGAGTCTTTTGCCTACTTATAAGCCTATCGATACGTTTAGTAGCAAAGGCGTCCCTTTACTAAGTACGTAACAGCTCGTCTATAAACGATTAACTATCCCTATTCGCAAGGTTATTTAATAGTACCCTCGCTATTAAACGAGGTACGCATTATATATATCTAATAGCACTAGTAGCCGGATTAACTGTATTAGTGCTTTAATCGCTATTACTATATATAGCGATATCGACTAGGGAGTTATTATAACTTCTCCTATCTATATCCTTAGCCCTTACCTTAATACGCACTATTAATATAGCAAGAGTATTAATATGCTTTAAGCTGTTACGGAGTTCGGTAAGCCGCTTATCCTACGCTTGCTTATTAATAATACAGGCTATAGCAATCTTATACTATAGGGTTAGAAATAAAGAATTAATAGATTGCTAAGTCCCGCTATCGTAATTAGGTCGCCTCGATAGGCTATTAGTAGGGTTGCTTACGCCTAGCCGATATAATATATTAAAATCAAACCTAGCGAAGTAGACGGCCTATCTAGCCTATCGACCTATAACCCTTATAACCTTCGTAATCCTACGGAGGTTGTTATAGTCCGTATAGACCTAAATAGTATGCTATACACTATCGAGATAGTAGCGCTAGTACTTAAAGGCTTCTACGATTACTAAGAGCTCTTGCTCGTAGGTCTCGTAACGACGCTCTATATCGATTATCTTTTGTAAGAAGAAGGCAATTAGGTGCTAGTAGGTGTTATTAGCCTACTATAATATAATAACGGATATAGCGAACTATAAAGCGTTAGTCTTAATACGGATTTGCCTACTTAGCACGAAATAGTACAATAAGGGGACTTTAGTAAAGCGTTGCTTTAAACCGTTAAAAGCGGCTTGTGCTCTATTAGTCTATTTAAACTCTCTAGTTAGGTTAGCCTTAGTTTTAGTAAGCTTAGTTAGGGGTATTATATGCCGTAAATAGCTCTTAATAAAGCGACGATAGAAATTAGCGAAGCCGAGGAATAATTGAAGCTCTTTAATACTAGTAGGGGTTAGCTACTTAGTAATAGTCTTAATCCGATTAGGATCGGCCTTAATACCCTTAGTTAATACGAGGAAACTTAGAGTGTGTGTCTAGGTGTTAGGGTCTATTACGTGCCTAATACCTAAGGCTGCAACTGCTGCACTTTATCTTTAGACTTTCCGTAGATAGTCCTTCTTCTAAATTATTAGTTACATTAAGTGGTTATAAGCCCCCTACGTTTCCAACGCATTCTACACGTTTTCTAATAGTCAATCCGACTGCTACGTAGATAGCGCTTGTTACTAAAAATTGCGCCGATACTAATATCGTCGCCGCCGCCGCCGCCCTCGAGTGTTCTAGTAGGTGCTAGACTCGAGTCGGCTACTATTAGTGTTAGCTGTCCGCTATACCGGTTTCTAACATTAGTATTAGCTGTCCGCTATACTAGAATATAGGCGCGCCTATCGGCCGCTCCTTTCTATATTATCGCCGTCGCTGTCTGCAATAGCTCCCCCTATAACCTCTAGCGCTTATATAAGCAACATCCCCAAGCTAAAGAATAAGGAGAATTACCTATTATAGTCGTACGCTGCTAAAGGCGCCCTTAAAGGTATGTCGGTATAGCGCTATATACAAGGCACCCGCTAGCGACCTCTTTCTAAGGCCTCTAGTAAGTCTTCTAAGGAGTTTAAAGACCGCTAAGATAAATAGGACTCTAAAGATCAAACGGCACGTACCTAGATCTTTGCTAACTATATTAGTAATATTCAACAATTACTGCTTAGTCTGTCTATATTCTAGGAAGTGTAGGACTTCCTTAAGAAGAAATATACTAGTAAAGGTAGGTCTACTAAATTCATGCTCTACTAGGAATATATTACCCTTCGCTACGATAGCAAGGACGTTAAAAAGTTCTGCAATAAGTATAAGAAGAAGCTTAGTGCCTTAAAGGACACTAAATTGGCTATTAGCTAGTATTAGGCTGTCTATATGTTTATTATATAGATCTCTCTATTCTACGAGGCTTTCGCACAGATACGCCGTAAGCAAATACGCGCCTTAGAATATACTATTAATAACAGCACCCTTAACAATATTATTAGCGCGTTGCTTAATAAGAATGTAGCTTAACTAAACTAGGCCTAATATAATAGTTTCTTTAGTCTCTAGCGCTAGCAACTACAAGGCAATAGCAATAGTCGAGGTAACTCGAACCGTAGCGGTCGTAGTAGCCGCGGAAACAATAACAACAATAACGGTCGAGGCCGCGGTAGAAGCAACTAGAATGGTTATTAGTCTAACCGTAAGAAGTGCGCCTATTATTAGAGGTTATACCCTTCTAACCGATACTATACTAAGTACTCTTACCTAAAGGAGGAAGACCGACTGCGTCGTAAATAGCAGAAGGCTAAGAAGAAGGGGGTGCAGCAATAGCAATAGTAGCAGCGTGGACTGACTGTATAGCAATAATAGCAATAACCGCTATCTAGTTAGAATAGTGCTTAGGGGCTGTATGCGGCTAATGCTACCCCGGGGGTGTTATTAGACCTAAGCTAAAATTACGCCTTTACTGCAAACACTATAGTTACTATTAGCGACTAGGTTTCTACGGCTCTTACTGCTAGTACTCGTACTACTAATTAGGTTGTCGACTTAGGTACTAGCATATATATAGTTAATAACCCTTTATTGCTTATTAAATACGAAGGCTGTTACATTCCTGTCCGGTTTAGTAGCAACACGAAGCACGCTACGATAGTTGGTATAGCCTAGACTAAGGTTGTTAATAAGCGTAGTGTAAGCAGCATGAAGCTGTCTAATATACTGTATATTCTAGGTCTAGCAGCTAACCTTCTGTCTACTAAGAAGCTTACCGATAAGGGCTGTTTCTATCGGAATAACAA